CATGGCCAGCCCCCTGATCCCGGGAAGTGATTTCTCACTCACACTCGTTCCGGCAAGTGTACTCACCCTTAGCAAAAACCTAAACAGACAGACAGGCCCCAGCCCCCCCAAAAAGGAAAACGCGCACACACAGAAACATCAATAGTCACGGGGAAGAGGTGCTTAGGGGAGAGCCCCGCTGGTTTAGACGATGAGGAGGGAGAGTTTGGAGTAGAGGTTGGGACACTTTGGCACTGTAATTTCCCAAGTCCTACAATCGAGGGTCCCCCTCCCTGGGGAGCGTGCACCTCCAAAGCAGGAGGGCAAGAGGTGCCTTCCTCCTCCTCCTCCTTCATCCTCTTCTGGAGCCGGCGGCGGGCCCCACACCAGACCCTCTCTATTTGCGTCCAGTAGCCAGGCGGCAGGTCCCGGAGCATCCTTAGGCTCTGCTCTAAGACAGAGTATCAGACTGACCTCAGAGTGGGCGGACTTTCCCGCTCATCTTCGGTCCCACCCCGGGGAAAGCAGCGGTTTGCTCCCACTCGCCAGGTTGCGGTAACTCGGTCACCCACACTTTACTGTTCGTGAACTCCGTGATTTCTCGGCGTCACTGGCGTTACCCAGGTCTGCAGATCTAGCCTTCGCACTCAGAGACTGCCATGGTACATTCAAACCCACACCTGAAACATTTAAGGTAGGGCCTTGCCACGCTGTGATCCCCCTGAGCTGCTCAGATTAGAGGTGCCTGTCACCGTGACCCACCTTTAGGCTGGACCAGGCTGTGGGCCTGGATCCCCTGTGTGGTGTGCCACCATGGCTGGGCCAGGGCCTTTTTATTTTCTATATATACACATACACACACACACACACACACACACACACACACACACACACACATAGAAAAATATGTCATGACTTTTCCGACAATCCAATGTTATATTTGATGTTTATAACATAATGTTAAGGGGTCCCTATCGCTAGCGAGGTGGTTACAATGGGTTAGCAAAGCTTCCATGTCACATACTTTTTTGTGTGTGATAAGGCAACTAAAATCTATTTATTGATTTGACGGAAATCCCTGCTGCGATCCAATTATGTTAACTTTAGACTCCGTGTCGTAGCGTCCCAGCCTCCTTTACCCTCACACACTTGCTGTTTCGTGTGCTTCGACCTACGTCCCCCTCCTCTCTCCCTCCAGGGTAACTGTCTTACGGTGTGCATCTGAAGTCTCTTATTGTTATTATTCCACACATCAGTAGATCACGCTCTCTTTTTCTTTCTGTGTCTGGCATATTTTACTTCCCACAATGGTTTCCAGGTTCATCCATGTTGTGGCAAATGGCAGAATCTCTCTCTCTTTTTTTTTTTTTTGGAGAGTTTTTTGCTATAGGGCACATGTACTTGCCAGAAAGACAGAGAGAGGACCAGGAGTTAGCGTAATGGCTATGTCGCTGAACTCCCACGTAGTCAACCGCGGTTCGCGTCCCAGACACGGTGGCTTAAAACTCACACTGGGCGCGTGTGCGTGCGTGCCCAAGATCCCTAGAGGAGAATGGAGGAGAAGGGATTGTGGCGTGGCCATCCCCCTGGGGGGTGATTTCTCGCTTTCTGTCTCTCTGTCTCTGTCTGTCTGTCTGGTGAGCGCACACGCCCTATAGCAAAAACCTCTCC